AAATCCCAAATCAGGGTTACTGAAATCAATAGCATAAATGCAGGATTCATGGGGGGAAATTCAATAAACATTTATGGAATGCCACCTATATTCCAGTCACTATTACAGGTGCTGGGTATATAGCACTAAAAACACAATGTCCCTGATGTCACAGAGCTTAACTTTGACTAGACAAAAAAATTTAAGGGTTTTAACTCATCACAAGGTTCATGCAAGCCATCAGTATGTAGCTTGGAGCTAGCCATTAAGTCCCTTTATATCGAGAAGCACTTAGCCAAGCCAAGCAGTGTTTGGAGCACTGTGGTTAAGCCCACAGAGGGCTGAGAAATGACTGGAGGACCAATGGTGAGAGGAGATGCAACAGCGGTCTTCAAACTGAGAGAGCCGTCTGTGCAGATTCCATCCCAAGGGCCAGCGTTCAGCAGATGGAAATGACAAGGCAGCAGAAATAGTTTCTCACAAGGGTAACTACTCCACAAAGGTATGGGGCAGCCTTGTTCCCGAGGGAGAGGTATCCCATCCTCGGAGATGCTGCAGGAGGAAACTGCTGAGACCAGACTAGGTTACCAAGAGATCAGACTAGTCTCTGAGTCCCACCAACTGTAAAATCAAGAATTTTATAGTTATTCCCCCATTAACCAGGAAGGCACTATTTAGGAGTGTGGGCTTTGGATTCTAGTCCTGGACTGGGACAAGTTACTGCACAGTCTACACCTCATTCCCTCACTTGTAAAATGGGGGTAATAATAGTTCCCACCTTATCCCAGCTGTGAGGATGAACCCAGGTAATTTCCAGTGCCTGCCTGGCCCCTGGCTAGTCACCAGTACATGTTAGCGGATGGTGATATTAAGTGCTGTTCATTTTATTTGACATTTCCATTTATCTAGGTAAATCGGTTTGTTGTGAGTCTCTAATTCTGCAATCTTTCATGTCGCATTTACTAAATCAATTATTATAGCAATTTAAAACTATAAAGTAGAAGCATTTTAGAGAAATTTGAAATGTTTTAGTCTCTAGAGAAATTAGAAGAAACAATAATACAAAAGGGGATGTTTAAGCGTGTAATTAAAGGGACTTTAATGATTAAATCAAAGTAAAGCTAGGAAGCTATTAATCTATGGAATGGCTGAGCCAGGCTGGGGCATGGAACCCCAGTCTCCCTTTCTCCTCCGGAGACCCCCATCAGACAACAGAAGTAAAAATCAATCCAGCAAACTGATTTTATGAGAACTAAATCATGCCAGACCAATTTAATTTCCTCCTGTGACAGAGAGACAGGCTTTGGTGACACAGGGAAGCAACGGTATCAGATACTGTGGCTCCAGCTAAGTCTTTAATTCCAGCCTACATAATAGCTGAATCTAAAAACTTAATTGAATTCTGCTGGCTAGTGGAAATGATCTGCAGAAATAGGAACCAGAGGCTCCGGATCACTTTCTGAGTAAGGAGGAGGCAAGGAGCCCTTTCCTTTGTGGGACTGACAGAAAAACAGGCCCCCTTCCATCAGTATTTACCCAGTACCTGTCAGGAATGCCCTCCACTGGAAGGCACGCTCCCCACGGTGCTAGCACGGGAGACATAAAGATGTTGAGTCCGCTCCCTGTCCTCAGAGCTCCTGAGGTTGGGGTGGCCAGCAGAAAGTGGCTTCAATTTGACACTGAAGGAGAGTGAGCAAGGGCTCAAAAAGAAAGGACCTTTGGCCCTGGCCGGTTTGGCTCAGCGGTTAGAGCGTCGACCTGTGGTCCAGAGAGACCCGGGTTCGGTTTCCACTAAGGGCACGTACCTCAGTTGTCCCCCGCCCTGGTTGGGTTGTGTGGGTGGCAACCACTCGATGTGTTCCTTCCACGTCGATGTTTCTCTCTCTCTCTCTCTCAGTCTCACTCTATCTAAACAAAAAAGAAAAAATGAAAAAAAAAAAAAAAGAAAAGAAAGGACCTTTGAAGACAGAAGGAACTGGGGGTAAGTAAGAGCTGTCAAGTAGATGAGAGAATGTCTTGACCGGAGCAATACAACTGAGTCCCATCTGCCTTGAATAAGTAACCTCCAGAGAACTTCCCCAGCTTTAGAATTCTAGGAATAAAGCCACTTTTGTGATTTTACCATCTAGACTCTCCTGAATTCAGCCTTTCCTTTTGTCCCCCATCAGAAAAGGGTTGATGGAAACAGGAAAAAATGGCATTCCTGCTTCCGATCACATTCACCGTGGGCCAGCAGGTGCCCCCAGAAGCCTGGACTGAGTTTTGGGTGGGACTCTGGAGAGAGTAGGTAAGACAGGGGTGCAGGGAGGAAGAAAAGAATGAAGAACCCTGGCTAATCTCCCAGGGTGGCTGAAACCCAGGAGATTTGTAGTTTTCTCAAATGACCACTCTAACTAAAGACGTCCAGTTCCCAGTCTGAAAACTCGGCAGGAATCAGGCCACGTTTCTAAAGGCCCGGGACGGCCAGAGCGCCTCCAGAGAAGCTTGTTTCCGTCTTGATCTTCAGAAAGGTCTCTCTCCCCTGATGCTGAGGGAAATTTCTAGGGAATTATTTGAAAGAACATATGCACCCCCATGCTCATTGCAGGGTTATTTACAGTAGCGAAGGTTTGAAAGCAGCCCAGGTGTCCCTCAGTAGGTGAGTGGAAAATAAAGCTGTGGTACATTTATTTACACAATAGAATACTACTCTGCTACAAAAAGGAAGAAAATCTTACCCTTTGTGACAGCATGGATGGACCTGGAGAATATTATGCTAAGTGAAATAAGCTAGTCAGAGAAAGACAAGTACCATATGATTTCACTCACATGTGGAATTTAATAAACAAACTGAATTACTACTAAGCAAAATAGAGACAGGCTCACAGAGAGCAGGCAGACAGCTCTGGGGGTGGGGGGGTGTTGGGGGGTGCATTGGAGGGATTGAGCAAAATATTTAGAAAAAGAGAGAATTCATGGACATGGACAACAGTGTGGTGATTGCGGAGGGGAAGGGTGGGGTGGGTGGAGGTGGAAGAGGGCATATAGGGGATAAATGGTGATAGAAAAAGTAAAATAAGATTTAAAAATAAATAAATAACTTTCTAGGGAATTGAAATGATCCTATCTAAGAATCTTGCCAATTTTAGGCTGCTTGCTGTCCTGAGGCTGGAGCTGAGCTCTTCCTGTGAATGATGCAGGTTCTCAGGAGCACGTGCCTGGCAGGGCTGTCCTATGTTTGGCAGGGTACCTACCACAATAAGCGTGCTGGTCCCAGACCCTACCTGTTGCAGTGACCAGATCTCATGATGCATGATGGGATCTGACTCAGGATGGCAGAGCAATAAATGAATATAAGCTTTGGAAATGAATAAATATGTGCATATTTAGCCAGCACATAATAAATCTCTCATACCCATAAATATGAAGACACACAACACATACACACCATATACTCCTAGTCACCAAGGCAACCATTCCCTGATGCTGTACTTTGTTCTTTTTCACACTAGATCTTTTTAACCTTATTTCCTTGGAGTGCAGCTCTGCCCTTTGACTCTGCTGAGGAGTACCATACCTCCTTGGGAAAGGCTGGTACCTATAACACTCACCACGTCCACTTTAAAGGCTTCCTATGTCTTATTCTCATTCTGACATTGAATTCAGCCAACACATTATTTGGAGAGTTGTTGAAAGCATCAACACAAAATAACTGTTCTATTGCTACTGTGAGTCAGAATAATTAAAGACAAATATAACGGTATGCCTTGCACAGTTTTCACTGACAGTTCTCGCCTTTTTAAAAAAAGGAATTCACAAAGTTCAGTGAAAAGGGAGCCAGCTTTGGTCCTAAAAGATGGAGAGACTGATTCTCAGGATTAAAGTGACAGCTCTTATTTAGGAGGCATGGATTTAGAATTATTGATCTTTTAAGAGTAGTTCACATTTCTTTCCTCCTTATAACATACATTATACTTCAAAGTAACCTCATTTTCTATTTTAGATTTCATTATTCAAAAAATGCCAATAACATTAAGGAGTCAAGAAATGGTTAAAACATTTTAATCCAAATACTGATCTGGTTTTTTACAACATCCATGTAATAAGTAGTGAGCTTTTGCCTTTTCACATCACCAACAGGTTTATGATTAAAGGTCAGTCAGTGGGAAGTTACTCTATTTTCACCTCTACCCTACAATTACTAGTGTCTGCTAAAATCATCACAATAATAAACCTGGTTTTGTGACTGAAACCGAAAGTTCTTTTCATAGCCTTCCATCAGAATTCTGGTGGAGGGGGAATGACCCAGGTAAGAACATTTCGTTTACAGTGTCCTAACCACTTGCAAGCCTTGTGGGGAGCACCGAGGCACCAGGGGGCAGGGAGGGAAATCCTTCACTATGAAACAACTGTCTGAAAAGTAAGTTCAGTGCAGAGCTCGTGATGGAACCAGCGGGCGCCTATTTTGCCGGGAACTGGGAAGCTGTCAAGGGGACACCTTCCCAGTGGGGAGAAATGGGGAAGCACGAAGGAAGACTCCACCCAGACAATCTGGGTTAGTCTGTGTCTCTAAGTCCAGAGAGAGGTGCCAGGTGGCCAATGTGTGGAGAAGTGACCTGGCTGAGTACACAGGGGGTCGGGCCGGGATGTGGTCCAAAGTGGGGGCGGAGGCGAACCCAGGGGGGCCAGGAGGTGAGGCGTAGGGGTGCGTGCCAGGTGGGCTGTCCTGCCACCCCATCCGCCCCAGCAATGAGCCTGCCCCGCGGAGGCAAAGTGCTGGGTTTCCCCAGGCTCGAGGGGTTGGCTCAGCCTCGGTATGGGTCCGCCTGTGACCCTGATCCCTGGGCCTAGGTCTGCCCGCCTGTGCAGGCACTTTCTGTCTGTCTGTCTGTCTGTCTGTCTGTCCGTCCGTCCGTCCGGCTCCCTGCTTCCCTTGTCCCTACCCGAATTCTCTGGGTGCCGGCGCTGTCCCTGGCGCCCCGCCCGCTTCCCTGGGGTGACCGGCCCCCAGCGCCCGGTCTGCAGGGGCCGGGCTCACTCACCGGCGTGCAGGCCGCCCGCCTCGGGGCCGCTGTCGGGGGCGGCGTTGCTGGGCGGCGTATCCGAGTCAGTGTAGGTGAGCCAGGTGGACTCGGTCTCCCGGGTCCAGCTCTCATAGTAGCGGGGCTCGATGGCATCGGCCCTGCTCCCGCCGCAGCCCATCCTCCCGCGCTCGCGGCGGGCTCCCTCGGTGGCCGGCCCTCGGCTCACACTGGGGCAGCGGCTCAGCCCCGGCGGGGAAGCCCGGGCCGGGGAGATCGCAGCGGCGGCGGCATCGCGTCCCGACCCGCCCGCGCCCGCCGCAGCCAGGTTCTCACGCCCGCCGCCCCCTCCCCGCGCCCCTCCTCTCCGCCTCCAAGGCCCTCCCCCCTTCCCCACCTCCCCTCAACCTCCCCGCTCCCTCCACCCCACTCCCAGTCCCTTGTCCCTCGCCAGGGTGGCTGGAGGGCCGGAGTAGTGGCCCGGCATGGGAGGGGTGGGGGATCCCTCCAGGGATTCCAGCCCGCGGGCCGGATTAGGGCTCTCGGGCTCTTGTGCTTTTGCCCAGTCACCATTCACCCCCCCCCCCTCCTTTCCTCCTTCATCCGTCCTGGGGAGAGATGGAGCACTTAGGAAGGGACCCCAGGCTTTCTGGCCACTTGTTTCAATAGCAGTGGCTGTGTTCACCTCACCTCCTAGTTCAAACAGAAAGGAGGCTTGAGTTGGGGAGGTGCCAGCCAGTTCTACAAAATGAAAGAAGGCCCCTGGAGCAGGTTTCAACCCCGGAAAAGGGGGGGGGGGGTACTGCCACTAAAAATTAAGGAGCAGCCCCAGCCCACCCCTGTCTCTGCTGGCTTGGGAGTAGAGAGTGGGACCTTTAGTTTCCGGAAGAGTTGGATTAGACTCTGTCACTATCACCCTTTCCAGTTCTGCCCTTCCTGATCGAACTTTGTTCTCAAGAAAGCAAAATAAGACCAGGAACCCTGTGGCATCTGGACACCCTCTCTGGATGGGGCTGGGAGGCCTGGCTGGCTTCCCTCCAAACCCGCCTGACAGCCTTGACTTTCGGAATCCATTGTCCAGCCTCAGTCTTTTGTTCCCTGGTGCACACTCAGCTCAGACTGGGGTGGGAAAACAAACTTACCCGTCCCAAAGAAGTCAGAACACTGGTAAGAGGAGGAAACCGCCCTTAAAGAGAAGGCTAAGAAAGGAGGAGGATCAGACGAATAAGTCCTCAATGACCAGGCACTGCCAGAATACACAGTGTTGAATGTTTTCACTCATTCAACACATATTTACTACATACCTATTATGGCAAAACACTGCTAGTAGATACAATACACATATGTTGTGTATATTACCCATTGTCTATAGACTGTAGTGTGTACTATGTAATACATTTTATAAAATATACAGAATATAGGTATAGTATTCGTTATATCCTATAAAATAGAATATAGACTACATTGTCTTTAACATTTAGTATGTAGCATCCAGTCAACAGGCCAAGACCAGAGCTCTGCCTGGCACACAGTAGGCCCTCAGTAAAAGTTCACTGAATAATCTTTGTGTAGTAATTTAGTTCACTTCAATCATTACCGTTTAGGCTAAAGAAGATCCAGTTCAGGGCAGAGCTGCTAGACATTCCTCTGGCCAGGCACTAATCAAAAACCATAAGGCAGAAGTGAGTCAAGACTCACTGAGCCAAGACCAGGGGCCCTTCGTCCTCATGCTGAGCCTGCTCCTCACCACGAAGCCCAGGCTGGCCTTTCCCCTGGAAGCTGTGCTTCTCCTTTCAAGATGGCCCCAGCAGGAAACTTGCTTCAGTTGTGTGAGCTGGTGGCGGTGCAGTCATCCCGGATGTTGTAGTTGCCCCAGCCCACTGGAATCCAGATGCCCTGCAACCTTCTTTCTTTCCCCCTGGATATTTTGCTTTAAGAAGAACCAGCTCTCTGGGACAGAGCTCCCCAGATTCTCCAAAGAGCCTCTGCTCCCCTCAGTTTTAGAGTGAAGTGCTCTTTTCATTACCAGCTACTTTGTGATGTCACCACCTGCAGAGTAGTCCAAACAGAAAGAGTGCCTGAGTTGAGGAGGTGCCAGGCAGTTCTAGAATATGAAAGAAGTCCCCTGAAGCAGGGTGAGCAGAGGAAAGGACGTGAGTGTGAGAGGAGGTGGGAGAGGAGGCTGGGCCAGCCCATGCATGGAAACAACCATTAAAAGGGATTTGGACTTTATCCCAAGAGCAGTGGGAAACATGGAGCACTTTAAGCCACACGTGACCAGCATCAGATCTGCTTTGGCAAACTGTCGCACTGCGCGCAGGTGGAGAACGGGTGGGCAGAGCAGCCAGGGTGGGTTCTGGGAGAGCATCAGGAGACTCTCAGAGAGAGGCGATGATGGTGGAGGATTTGAGGAGTTGAGTGGACAGGATTGCCAATTACTGAGGAGAGGCATACTAGAAGCAAACCAGTATTGTACCCAGGTGGAGAGGGCTGGAAATGTCAGGTCAATGAGGAATACTGTTCTGATTGAATTTGAGATGCCTGTGAAATTTGAGTTCACATATGTAAAGCAATAAACTTAGCCACTGGAATATAACAAAAGTAGCTTTGTAAATGCTAGTTTTCATGATCATATGGCTCCAAATCTGGAACTCAAGAGAGAGAGGTCTCCGCTAGAAAAATACATTCAGGGGGCATCAGCATATGAAAGATATCAGAAGAGCTGTCTCTTTTCTCAAATATCTTGGCCTTTCCTGTTTTGGTTTTTCTAGTGCTCAACCTTCCCGACTCCTGGCACCCTGCTACCTGCTCAATCTCTCTGTCCCCAGTCTTGCTCCCTTTCTTATGAAAAGCAACTTATCTCTGTCCCAGCGTCTGACTCCAAGTTTGATATTCCAACCACTGCTTAATACTTTCTTCAGGTATATCTGAGATTTGATGGATGAAGATACTGTCCACACTCAACTTTGAAAGATCCGCCAGGTCCCCATGTCTCAGTTTTCTCATCAGTGAAGGGATGGTTAATTGTGTGAGGATGTGTAAAGTGCTTGGAAGAGTGCCTGGCACATAGAAAACCTCCGTCAACGTTAGCGATTGCTGTCCTTTTGTTTTTTTGTTTTTTTTTATCCTCACCCGAGGACATTTTTCCATCTTTTGCACAGACAGAGTGGGAGGGAGAGAGAGGAAGAGAGAGAGAGGGAAACATCGACGTGAAAGGGACACATCGAGTGGCTGCCACCCGCACGACCAACCAGGGCCGGGGACAAACTGCAACCGAGGTACATGCCCCTAGCAGGAACCGAACCCAGGTCTCTCCGGATCGCAGGCGGACGCTCTAACCGCTGAGCCAAACCGGCCAGGGCGATTGCTGTCCTTTTGAAGCAAGGAGCCACAGTGGCATCTCTCTCTCTTAAGGAAGAAATATCTGAAATCAGTGTTTTCACGTGAGATCATGTCTATGAATTTGCTTAGCACATAGCAGAAGTTTGGTAAAGGGTAGTCTTTTTTTCTTTTCCTTCCTTCCTTTATGACTTTATTACCAACAGCCTTTCTGCAAATAAAATGTCTCACCACCATTGCTACATAATCATTGTTGATGGAACAACCATCTGTGTGTTTGTTTTTCATGGAATCTCTTTTTGCTATTACATAAAACAATAAATTCAGAGAAATTTTAAACCCAGAAAAATGTAGAGATCACTTGATCCAATCCTTCGATTTTACCAGTTAGGAAGTCATAGCTCTGAGAGGTTTGTGGAATCACCCAAAGTCACAGAATAAGTTGTTTTCTCTGGCAGAGCTGAAGTTTCAGCAGGAGCTTGGAGCCTCTGACTAAAGGCTCAGTGTTCTTTTAATTATAAGTCTTTAGCTGGTGTTGAATTTTCTCCCAAAATTTCAGGGATAAATGTAATGAACTAAATGTAAATATGTAAAGTGTAATAAATTATCTTAAACCATCTCTTCAGACTCAATCTCCCCTGTCCCTGGTCTTGCTTCCTTTCTTATGAAAAACATAAACTGATCATCTTTTCCCATCAATTTTTAAAGCAGCAACAACAACAATTATTCTAAAGAGGGAAGGTTGTAACAGGGAATTGAAAAACCTTAGCCAAAACCATCCTGAGCAATACAGTACATGATGCCTTTAAAAGCTATTGCTAAGTGATATTTGTTACCTAACGGGATTCTCAAAATAATGTATCTGTGACTTTAAGACCCATGGTGGTGAGTACCACCCCTGGCTCATTGCTATGGAAACGAGAGCAGTGGGCTAGGGCCTTGAAGCCATTTCACCTCCAGGTCTCAGTGAGACAGTTGGGGTCCAGGATAGAACAGAAGCTCCACAGGACCCTAAACCTACTGTCAGGATCAGTCATCTGAAAATAAGTAAAGATAGATCTACTGCCTTATAAGTTTAATTTTTCCAAGTGAAAAAGTACTACAAATGAGGAGCAGTAGCTGCAATAATTCTGGCCAGTGGTGTGCAAACCCCAGGTAAGTCTGTCTAGTCCTGAATGCCAAACCTCTGCAAGTACCTCACTGTGCTCTGTGCCCTCCCTCCGGAGGACTTTGGAGCAGTTCCCACTGAGCACCACCCCCTGTCCCCGTCCCGGCTTGCTGACACATCCTCATTGATGTACAAATTGTAATTTTGTGCAAAAGGAGGAGAGCTGAAGTTAGTGCCCCAAAGCACAAAACCGGATTCCACTCCCTATACCTGGGTAAGGAAGTCAGCAAGTGTCACGTGACACAGGCCATTCATGCATCTCTGCCTTCGAAGAATGAATGGTACACCTGGTGCTGCAGACAAACAGGATAAAGCAGGGAAATCGAAATATTAAAATGGCAAGAGGATACATGAGTGTTTGACTTGTTTTAAGAAGACAGAAAAGGTGAAAGAGGAAAATTTACCAAAAAAGGGAAAGTAATTGGATAGGTTACCACAAAACCTTTATATAGGAAATGAAATTTAAGTGTGAAACTAAACACTATAGAGTAAATTCCAACCTCCACTAATTTTTAAACCAAATAATTCTCATGAGAAGAATTAGCTCCTTGGGGTTAATTCTAAAGAGACTGAGCAAGTTCTCTGAACGCCGTCAGAATCCGTCTCAGTGCCTGAATGAATGTTCTGGGGCACTTCATCGTACTCCAAATGGAAACCCAGGACAAAGCAGCTGC